AGGAGATTAAAGAAACAAAATTTTTGGATAGCTTGAATGCTAAAGTTTAAAATTTAAGAATCACATAGCTCAGTTTTAACAGTTTAGGAGCAAAACAAACATCTTAAACTCTTCATGTGAATAATTTTGAACTAAAAGCTTAACATTTCCCGTTCCTTTTAAATGTATGGAGAATTAAGAAAGATGATTTCCAAGTATGGGTATGTGTCAGGGATGTGTGTATGGGTGTGTTTTCCCCCAACAATTGTCCCTGGCTATTTAGAATTACTTTGTCTAAAAGAACTAAACAAGAAAGTGTTAGAAAAATATATTCCTCAGAGCACAAATAGGCTTTAAAATTTTTATTTTCACTTTTTAGGCTACTGTTTCTAACTCATTTATTTTGTGGCATAATCTCACTAATTAGCAACTTCAGGACTTAGATTATGTAGAATAAATGACAGAAACGGTTATTGTTCATTTTTGTTGCCTTTATGGCATAATCAGTTGCAGCTTAAATGTACTTACCAGTTCTGTTTAAAAAAAAAAAAAAATGTCAGGCCTTTGATTCTCGTGCCTCTGTTCCAAGATGCCCTTTGTTTTAGAAGGTCATTTCTTCCCATTTTCTCTTAAACATCTCTCCCGCTCTGTCTTGGTTTTAGACTAGTTTCATTATACTACCTGTTTCTAATATATTGGGGGGGGGGGGTTAATTCAGTATTTGATATATTTGTTTTAATGTATGTTCTTGTTTTAGCAGGTAAAAGAATCATAACTTAATTTTTTTTAAAAAAAAGGGGGCATTAACGTTATTCTTTATTAACCATCTTTTTATGGATTTTGCACGTCAACTTTTTCCATTAACATCTGGGGTCTTTTATAGAAAAGAAGGGAAACTCCATGCTTAACAAGTGCTTTTCTAGGAACGGAATTAAATATTAATGAATCTCCTTCCTTCACCTCCCCACCCCTCAGGAATGGTAAATCTTAACATTGGCTGCATCCTTGAAATCTGATAATTACTCCTAGTCTAACAAAACTTAGGGCCACCAAACTTGGCAGCAGAAATACCCTTATTCTTACTGTGATAACTACTTTGATTACTATTCTTCCAACTTAAGAGCAAAATATTTTATGGAAATATTTTATGCTATTTATGATTTTTAAAACCTAAGAGGAAAACAAACTTTCAAGTGTTTGAAAGTGTTGGATGAGCTTATAAATTGTCTGACATTTGAGTATGTTGGTTAGGGCTATTCTTTCTTGGACATTTATCAAATGTGAAAACTGGTGATTGTAAAAAAATACAGGCTGCAGCTGGAAAATGGAAAATTAAGCCTGTTTAGGTGAGTTATAACCCACCTAATATGCAAAAGTTCTTCTCATAAGTAATAACTAGTTTTTATAAACGATGCTGGCAAATTGGTACTGAAGCCATAGATAATTATGGCTCCTATGTCTGATGGTTTCAAACTTGTATACTTGTAACTTATGTCCTTGCAAGCTTCTTTATTGTAAAACGGCGTTTACAAAGGAAAGAAAACCTTATTCCTGAAATTTCACGTGTGGTCCACAGACATGATTTGGTTCTCAGTTAAATGTTTTCTCAGTTTCAATGTAAAGATTAGATGTTCTTTTCATATAAGTTCTTTGTCTAGAATAGAACATAACTGTTGTTTCCCACATGTGTTGTAAAAGTTATCAGCACACACATATGTACTGATCAATACTCGTACATAAGCAATTGGAAAACCAATGGCCAATCTCCCCTCAAGTAAAATGGGGAATTTCTAACATCTTGAACTTACTAAGAAAAACTGTGTCAGGTACCCTTGATGTGTACTCATGATTTAATTTTATATTTTAAATTTTAGTCTGATTTGGATGTGGACGGTGTTTTAATTGGGGACTTTCACAGAGCTGACCCCTGCATTTAAATTGGAAACTGTGGATGGAGCCAGTCTTCTATTACTACTGACTATTATGAAATTTAAAAAGAAATCATATCAAATCACTGTGTCCTAATCTATTTTTCTGCTGCCAATTTTGTGTAATCTCTGTTTTAAAATTAAACAGAGATTTTTGAATTAGTTGCTGTGCATGAACACAGGTTCTAATTTCTTATTTTTTCCATGGATTCTTAGACTTTGTACTATGATTCCCTGCATTTTTGTGCACCCTTCCTTTTTCCCTGTCACTCCTGATACGGATAACTCTAAAGCTCTCACTGCCTCCCCATCTCACACTTTGTCCTTTCCCCAACTTCTGTATGTGCTTATCTGTGTGAAATCCTGGGACATTTAGCCCATACGATAATAGAGCTCGACTTGTCCCCCTGTTCCTCCAGGAAAGGAAGTTCTTCAAAGGCTTCTTTGGAAAAGTAAGTTTGCTGCCACATTTGTGCTTGCTTTATAAGGAGTTACACCCCTAGTATAGCACTGACTGTTTTTTTAAGTGCAGCTTTTGTTTCTTTAAAATACAGGAAATTAGTTAACTGTATATGAAAATTAATGAATAGGTTAGTTGCTGTTATGGTATTACCTGTGTGTCTGTTGATAGTAAATCTTGCAATTCCTTGGAAAGCCAAATAAATTAGTTGAGTAGGTTAAAAAAACGATTGTTTCTTCAACAATCAAATTTCAAATAAATTTCATTTGATCTTCTAAAATTCTGTTCATGTGCATATATTAGCGATATTTTTTAGCACATGGATTTTATTTAGTGCCCAAAGTTGACAGAGAAATGGGAAGAAATATCAAATTCAAATGATATTTTATGTACCTCAAATTTTATATTCAATATTTTTCTAATCTAAGTTAAATTTCAGATGAAATAAGTTAAAGCATTAATACTCATTTTAACATGGTTGGCTAAGATTAAAAACTACTAACCTGCCAAATGCTTGTGATTATTCAAGTAATAATTATTTAATATTCAGATCTCCTAGAGTTAAGAATATATAGGCTGGCAGTACACAAATAGATGAATATGTTTCTAAAAATTTTTCTGTCAAATTTGTCATTGTTTAGCTTTGAATAACTGCTGCTGAACAAAAGAGAAATATTGTCTTGAACTGAATTTTAGGTTAAAGGTTATGATTAAGAAAATTTCTGTTTCTGTCATAAATAAAATAATTTAGCCATAACCTTATCCTTTCCTATTTTCTCATTCCAGTTTACCTTACTTTTATACTGATGTAAATGATTTGAAGTATTTTTTATTTAATGATTAATTACTGTCAACAATCTGATGAAAAGTCACTTAATGTACCTACACCTGTCACAATGAAAAGTTTAGTATTTGTTTGAATCTGAAATACACTATCAAGTCCTTACAGTATATGGGATATATGTATGGGAAGAGTCCTATAAACATTTGCAACATTATAAATAATTGTTAAGGAAACTTTATGGAGCATTGTATCCCAAGCATAATTTCTAAAAGCAAGTCTATATCACATCTATTATGCAATTTCAATTCCTGTCGCTGTCCCGCAGTGATGGACTTGGTGCACGGAGCCGATAGTAACACGCGTGGACTCTGACTGATGGTCAAAGCCGAAGTTTATTAGTGGCCTCCAACTGTATACACTGAGGGTTATATTGGTTAAGAGAGGAGGTATTGAGCTTAGCAACAAAACCCATCAACTGTTTCTGTACTCTTGTTTGGAACTCCTTTTGTCTTGTATATTCCACCAAGTGTTCTCATTCACATGCTGTCCACTCAACTGTTCTATACAAATGATATCCAATCAGGTATACAAAAGGTGGCCTTTCAGTTGTTCTCATGCAAATATTATCCAACCAACTGTAATCCTGTGCTCACTGGAAAGACTGATCTGCAATTCTTTACACATCGTGTAACCCTGAAAACCTCTTTGGTTTGTAATTGAATTCATCCTTTTTAATTTATTTTTAAAAAGTAGCTTCTACTAAAAGTGATCTGGGAATAGATACATGGCAGTGTTTTATTATAACTGGTAATTTCAATTGCCTTTTACTATAGGCAGGTTTCGTACAAAGTGGTCTTATAATGTGCTGAGCCTCAGTTACTATTTCTGTCATTTTGTTTGCCTTCACTGGTTTCTTTCAAGTTGAAATTTTCTGTGCGTTCCTCTTATTCACAGTAAAAGTTTCCTTTTTTAGTAATTTGTAATAGCTCCACTACCTGCTATCACTTTCCTACAAAATCAGAGCTTGTTGTTTGCTCTTTTGTTTTAATATCCACCCTTAATTAAAGGTGTCTAAAGCAGATATTAACATTTAAATTCTAAACTGAATAGTGAATAGCTTGGTTACTTGAAAGTGATACTTGAATTTCTCATTTTTCACTTTGAGATTGGTGTGGCCTTCCTGCTAAAGGTTTCACCAGCTTGACTTCTAAGTTGACAAAGTTATGTCCATGTCAGATCCATTTTCTTTCTTTGAGGGATAAACAGCTTAATCATTCTGTGAAACTTTTTCATGGCATTAACATTAGTCAGTGTGACTTATGTCTATAACCTTGAAACTGTTATTAGAAAGTATTGGATTCTAAATATTTCACATTTACACTTTACCACATTTTTATTAGTTGTGCCATTTACTTCTGCATTTTTTACTTATTCTGAGAAACAATTTAATACAGGGTCAGTTTTGAGGGTAGAGGTGAGGGGCCTGCCAGCCAGCGGGATCTGCCACAGTACCCTGAGTGTGGTCTGTTCAGGGCACTCTAAGCAACTGTGACACCTGAATGGCCTCTGGGTCATCTTTTTTTCCGTTAACTTTGACCTGATGTCATAGGATTTGGTTTGAATAAAGAAATTTAGAACAAACAGAAGCAAAAACTTTTATCTTCTGTCTTTCAACCTCTTTCCTAAAAGCATTCAGGAACCTTATATTATCAGAATGAATGAAAAAATTTGAATTTACTAGTGGTAGAAAAGGGTTGCTACTATAGAATTTATGAGGAGTCTGTACTTCATTTCAGCCACAAGAATCTAATACTAAAGTAACTCTAAGGTAGAAAAATACAGTAATATTGTGTTCGCTTCGGCAGCACATATACTAAAATTGGAACAACAGAAGATTAGCATGGCCCCTGCACAAGGAAAAATACAGTAATATACAAGACCTAACGCTCAATGAATCATGTTTTCCGTTTTCTTTCTCTGGAGAGATGAGAGACCATGAAATATGAGAAATACAGTTCCTCACTTTTATATTACTATAATACCATAATTATTATTTTTTAAAGATTTATCTTTTTATTACAAAGTCAGACATACAGAGCGGAGGAGAGACAGAGAGGAAGATCTTCCGTCCGATGATTCACTCCCCAAGTGAGCGCAACAGCCGATGCTGTTAAAAATCTATGAGCTTCAGGCCTTTCTATCCCATTGTCTGTTGAATATGTGCACCAGCATACTGCATGTACACTTCAAATTTTGCTTTCTTCCCCTGCCAAACTTGATTTTTGCATCTCTACTTTTTTTGAAAGTGTCTTCTCCACTCAGCTCAGCCTGTTACCAGTATTTGAGAAATGACTACTGGATGGCATATTTTTCTCTGGCTGTCTCTCTCTGCCTTTGAAATAAAGGAAGATAAATGTTTTAAAATGCTAGTCTGGTTGAGTAAGCTTAAATTCTTTCAGTAGCTTGTTTATTTTATTTATTTGAAAAGTGAGGAGTCAGAGATCGACCATTTGCTGGCTTACTCTCTGGATGCCCACAGCAGCTGGGACTGGGCCCGGCTGAATCAGGGAGCTAGGAACTCAGTCCAGGTCTCCCACATCGGGAGCAGCACCCAGCTGCTTGAGCTGGCACCTGCTGCCTCCCAAAAGTGCCCATGAGCAGAAAGCTGGAGTAAGGAGAAGACCTGGTGTTTAAACTTGGCCATTCCAGTATGGGATGCTGACATCTCAAGTGGCATCTTACTCATCACACCAAATACCCTCCCCCTGCTTAGTAACTTCTAGTTGTCTGCAGAATTAAGATGCAGTTCATTAGCAGGTATGCATGGCCCTTCATGTACAGGCTTGCTTTCTGCTTTTCCCCCATTGTGCCTCACTCACTCGGCTTGCTTTAAAGCCATACTGAAATATTCATAGAGCCTCACACTTGCTGTGTCATTTGCCTGCATGTCCTGTTCCTCTGTTGCTTTTCTTTGCAACCCTTGTAACGTGGAGTGGCAAGGCAATTTATTCAAGACTCAGTTAGATCTTTGTGCAAGCTTCCCCAATTTCCCTACATAGATTTGACTAAGTTCCCTTTTTGTTTCCAGCTCTAGTCTAGTACTTACTACTGTGTCTGTCTTTTGTCTGAGTGTTGTCTTCCAGTGGACTATCTTTTGTATTGTTTTCACTGGACACTTACCAAATGTGTGACAGTAGAGGTGGTGAACCAGCCAGAGTAGACTCAACGGTTAATTTAAATGAGACTATCCTCCCATAGCAAGGGTTGCCAGATTTAAGCACACAGATTAGCACCAAATTCCTTTTGATCTCTACACTTCATAATCTGATACCTAGTCTCAACCTTCTTTGTGCTTTAGTTTTATTTTACCTATATCTTTGGAACAATTAAGACATTGCTCGGTTGATACTACAGTATATCACGGGAGAAAATATACATCAACCTATGTGTGTCACAAGAAACCTTTTCTCAGCCAGTAAAAAGAAAACTCATGTTATAAAAAGTTATTTTTTAGCAGTTTTGTAATCCTCCTATGACCTTAAAATGTGTTTATGAATTTAATGTCAAATTAAAACTAAACTGCTTCTGCATTAATCTTGAGAAATATTCTTTTTAAAAGATTGTTAGTAGACTGATGAAGTCTCCTCACGTTTCAGCATGAGCTTGTCAGATGGCCAGGGATCTTGCTGCACTTTGGGGTCAGAATTGAGGAACGATCGTCATGTCCAGTTAGGCTTACCACTACATCCTATTCTAAACAAACATGTAGAAGCTGCTTGTGGTGTAACTCCTTATGTACTTAATGTTCTTCTGACTTTTGGTTTTATTGGTAGAATTTTTTAAATAGTTGAAGAAACTAGCTCTAAATCCTTTGCCCTTAATGGAATGTGATACTTGATTTTAGTTCCATCTGTTCTTTCCCTTTTACTTAATTTTCTTACTATTTTATGATATGTGTCTGAAGCCTTTGGCTTGTTTTTCCCTGGATGCTTCTGCAGTTTGATTTGAGCATCTGACTTTAGGTCCCCCTCCTAATCTTGGACTCCATTCTGTGCTTGTGACCTTCGGAAGGCAGCAGTCTGTTTCTGTGTGGGATGACTTTGCTAATATGATTTATGTTTGTCTCTCTCCCCTCCCTTTGCTTTCTCCTAAAAGACTGGAAAGAAAGCAGTTAAGGCAGTCCTATGGGTGTCAGCAGATGGGCTTAGAGTTGTGGATGAAAAAACTAAGGTAAGATTTTTAGAAACTTGAATGTGACTGTTCATATGATTTTTTTTAATCCTGAAAAATCAAATGTGATGTCACTGACCTCTATATCCTCAGCTTTGTCCAAAGTACAATCTTCTGAGAAACTCTTAAACATTTAGGAAGCTAATTTAGTTACTCATTTACTTCATAAAAAGTAGAATTCTCTCAACATCCTGTTCTATATGACACACTGTTTAATGTACTAAGTATTACAACTTTAAGGTTTGAGTTCCTTCTGTTCTTACATAGTAAAAGAATTTCACTACCCCCCCCCCCCACAACTGTAAATGGGAAAGCTGAAGGGCCATGTTCTGCAATTTAAAGTTTAAAAAGAAAAAGAGAAAGATGGTGGACCATAAGTGGAACTTATTAAGAAAACACTGTCTTTGGAAATGGACTGTTTAAAAACCTAACATAAATGAAGTCTTGAGGACTTTTAAATAACTGTCTGGTTAATATCTAATTAGAATCCAAACAATATCTCATCATAAGTAGCATTTTTGCCTTTGAGAGAAAGTGATCGGAATTGGGTAAGTAGGAATAGGGACACAGAGTATGCTCTTAAAGACCATAATATATTATGTAAGGGCATTTGATAATTAATTAAAAGTTCTAAGATCGAAAGTAAGGGAAAAGTGAATCAAGTGGACAGTTTTTCAAGAAAATTAAATGCCACTGAACAGAGAAGAGAAAGCCTGGTAGACAGTCAGAGGGAAGTCTGATGGAGATCCTGCGAGACACATTCTAAGTGGTTTAACATAGCTGTGTTTTACTTCTTTGACCTCTCATTTAAGGCTTTTTTTTTTTTTAAGTTCGAGAAAAATAGTAAGCTTAAATTTTAGTGTTATTGCTTTTCTTAAAAAGCTTGTGTAGTTTTGCTTAAAACTGTATAAGGTATTACTTGAGAGCCAGAGTTTACAGAGAAACAGAAGGAGATCTTCCATCTGCTTGTTCACCCTCAAATGGCTGCGTTAACTAGAGCTTAGCGGTCTGAAGCCAGGAACCAGGATCATCCTCTGGGTCTCCAAAGTGAGCACAGGGGTCTGAGGACTTGAGTCATCTTGAGCTGCTTTCCAGGTGCGTTAACAGGGAGCCAGATCCAAACCAGTCCCCACAGGCGGACGACACTGGTCCCTCCAGTTTGCTTTAGTGTTTCATATGCGGTGTCCCTTGGGAGCCGCGTTCAAGTGTTTAATGGCTTTATGCTGTAATTGGAAAGGATGTTGCCCCCTGGTGGCTTCTCACAGCACTAGCACTTATTAATTTAGTTCTGCATTGGGTGACGATAGAAAATAGTGGCTTCTTATCCTTGAACCTATCTGTCTTTGTGTAGGTACTTTGCAATGAGAAGGAACTAATATAACATGGGATCAGTGCTTATGATAAGGTTGTACTGCAGTCTGCACCAGTTTTACCGTTTGAGGTCCCTAACCTTTGACCAACAAGTTTGTGAAGTTGCCTTGCTGTCCCATTGTCCTTCTTGGTTCCAGTAGTGTTTCTGCTTAAGAATGTAGTAACTCACGGGCAGTTCCTTATAAAAAGCACACATTACATGAATTGTGCTTGGGAAAATTGTATTTGTATAACTAAGAAGAAGAAAAAATTAGAAAGCGTATCTTTAGTATGTTTGACTTCCAGTGGTGCCTAAATAAAACTCGTTTTGAACTGAATCTCCCACAAACTACTATGAATTGAACAAAGCAGTGCGGTTAATATAAGACACTAGAGGATAAGGCAAAGCGGGCAAACTCTGCAGAGAAATTGACAGTTGGAAGAAGAAAGTAGTGCTGGGTGATTTCCTATCACAGTTTCTAATCTAAATATAGGCCCTGGTCTACACCCTAAAGGGTAGCAAAACTTCTCACTCTGTTCAAAAAAAAAAACCTGGTAGATAGCATTTAAAGTAACGGTAGCTGCTAGAAAATAAAGAGGGTGTCTAAGTACAAAGCAGACTCTGCATGGCCCCACTGAGGATATAAAAACTGAGAATCAAGCTGCTGTTCAAAAGATAATTTTCATGTGACTATAATCAAATTAGTCACCTGCTAAAGTGTAATGTAATAGAATCCAGGCTCTCCACATGTTATACTCACAATGTCTATAGAATAAATCCAGAATCACTCAGCCTACAAAGAAACAGATAAGTATGTGGCTGATTCTCATTAAAAACCCAGCCATGAGATGATCCATGGCCCAAAGGTTGGAGTTAGGCAACGAGGATTTTGAAGCAGGTGTTCGAGCTGTATGCAGTGATGAAGAGGGAAATATGCTCATATCAGATGAGGAGATGGGGAACCTCAGCGCAGAGACAGAAACAAAAAGAACCACTTGGAACTTCTCCATCAAAAAAGTAGAGTATCTTCCCCCCTTTAAACATGAAAGAAACAATATGGAAAAAATACTAATCTTATCCACTTTCCTGTAGCCCTTGAACGTTTTTACCCTAGTTAATTATGTAAAGATTGTCAAAATAAAAAAAAAAAATAAGAAAAAAAAGTAGAATATCGGAAATAAAAATATTTATTAGATGAGACATACTGTTAGTTGGAAAACAATGTAGAGCAGTATGTGTATATTGTACACATTTGTATAAAAGTGGTAAGAGTATGACTATTATATGTCTGTTTATATTTGCAAATAAACCAAAAGAAGTATATATATTACAGTACATGCATTGTCAAATTGAATATGGATGAGACCTAAA